CTCATTTCTCCGAGAGATGACTATAGGTCATTCGACTGCTTTAACCTATATTCTCTTCCCTCTCTCCGCTTCACCGTATTTTGCGGGAGCTGATCGTTTGGCTGATCGTTGGCCGTTTTCCGCTTGGTTATGGGTTGCAATATGTCGCCTATCTCTACGCTAGCTTGGCTGAATGCGTTGCTGGACACCATATATGCGGCTTCTTTGAATTTCCTCCTAAATCAGTGTTCGTCCCTGTGGATGATCTCAGCTTGAGGCCAATTGATGTTATGTTGATGAGTCCAAACATCATCTTCTATTCCCAATGTGCTGGTTTCTCCTCGATGTCTGTGTTTCTTGTGCTCGGCAACGCAGATTTTCAATGGCCTTAGTTTCACCAATATAGTACTTTCCGCAATCGCAGGGTATCCTGTAAATGCAATTCTTGGAATCGCAGTCCGCGTATGAAGGCCCGGTTTTTGCTAGGCTGCTACGGATAGTGTTTACGGATCTGAAGCAGGTTCTGATACATTTGAACCCAATTCTTCTTATTCTTTTCCACAATCTTCTGATGTAGGGAAGTGCAAGTACTGGCTGTGGCGGCTTCTCTTCCTTGCGAAGCTCTTTCTGTCTTTTAGCAAAAGTCTGTTCTACCATCACTTTGGAGTAACCATTCCGTTGAAGATAATTTTTTAATATGCCTGGTTCCTTTTCGAGATCTTCCTTTTAGTCATGGTTGGATTCGTGGTTCAGATACTGTCCCGTGAAGTAGGTTTTCGGTATTTAGATGTTTCCCACTTAGTGTTGGTTCTCTTCACCAATACATCTTAAAATGGCAATTCGTTGTGGACTTCCTTCTCAATTGTGAAGGTGATGGAAGGTCATACGCTGTTGATGTGCCGCGAGTCTGGTTGAGGTACGTTGACGACACCTTCATAATATGGAATCATGGGAATACAGAACTAGACACCTTCCTGACGCAACAATTTTCAATTTTTGCTTGTATTTTATTTCACTGTGATTTCATTTCAGGGTTTTTTGCCTAATATAATTGTTATTTTCAGCTATTCATGTTAATTTTATCGATTCTTTCAGGGATTTCAAATCATTTTATATCGTATTAGACGATGGAAGTCAGAACTAATGAGATTCGCCATGAAACATTGTTAACCACCTTCAAACAAACAGCACAGAAACTGTATTGAACTAAATTAGACCCTCCATGTATATATTGGACAGTATGACGTCACTCTACATGTTATTGTCAACATTAGCGTGTAATTCTAGCAGATACGTTTCTCGCCTTTGTATTCCCAATAATACAATAACAACAAAATATTATAATTATTAGAGGTAGTAAATGTGTATGGAAAACATATCTAGAACCAAATGAGTAGAAAATAAAATATGAATATATCAGTATTCATTTAAAAATCAGATATCAATAATATTTTCATTACATTCACTTATAACTGTTTCGTGAAAATGATATTACTGAGAAGAGTTCTAGATACAATCATAGACCCAAAAAGTTGCTTCTATGATGAGATAATACTGTTTTCATGTATCATAGATTTTATCAGTGGTATTCGGCGGAATTATGATAACAAAATTTGAATTTAGCTGTTCAGAACCCGGTCCTGAACGATCATATTCAGAAGTAAGAAATTATTATGGTGACATTCCTTATAAAAAAGCGAATAAAAGTTCGTATGGAATAACACGAACAATTGGAAGAATGGAAAGTGATGACAGCGAAATGGTCAATAAACAAAATTATTGAATCTGAATAACTTCACTACTTATTTACTTGTTTTTGGAATCCATAACCCACGCTTAGAAGAAAAAATTGTCATATAGTGAGTTCGAAACAATTTTTTGTTATGAGAGTATATGATTTTTGAAAAAATATTTTTCAGCAGAGACAAGTTTTTGAAAAAAAGTAAACTTTTTGCCTTTATATTTTTCCATAATTATCCAAAAAAAGGAAAACTTCCGAAGAAACGAGAAAAGTAAATATCCTCAATATAAACAAAGATGTTCAGATGATTGACAGAATTTCATTGAAGGAACTTGAAGGGAAACTCCAACTCAAACAACCACTTTCAGGGATATGAACATTGAATTATACGTAAATAACTTTTTCTTATTCGATGGGAGCATTATAAGACCAAGGCGAAACAACCTTGGTGCAATGAATATTATTATTGTCTGAATTTACAAGTGAAACAAGTAAAAAAATTGTGTTGAACACTTTTATTGAAAAAAAATATAATGGTGTAAAAAATAATTGGGAAGGTCTTAGGTAGCAGTCATCACATGACTCTCCTCAGTAATCTACGGTATTGATTAGATAAAGAAATAATAAAATCGTTGGGCATAGTATTTACATATTTGATCAGGTAACGCAACGCACAACGATTTTTTTTATCTGATCCATACCATAGATTGCTGAGTAGAGTGGTGTGAAGACTGCTACCTAGGACTTTCCGAATTATTTTTCAGCTTTTAGTACATTATCAACATTATTATTATCTTTTATATAACCGTTCAACATACTTTTTTTTCACTTATTTCATTTTCAAGTTTTTAGTTTCTGATTTTTATCTCCCTTTTTTTTGTACCTTGTCCATTCAGTCCAAGTCTTCAGAAAGCCTCTTGGGCTTATTGCGTTTATTCTACCATCTTCTCATGACACCCATTCCATTAGTCTCATTCCCTGTACTAGTGTGTACAGGTTCCGTGTTGGATGTTCGTCATATTCTTCTGAGCGTAATTTTGTACGTCCATATATTGCCGCCTCCTGTGATTCAGTGCCTCACATTCGCATAAGATGTGTAGTGCTGTTTCTATCCCTTCGTTGCATAATCTGCAGCTGAGGTCTCCGTTGTACAGCCCCATTTTATACAGGTTTCCTCTAAGCGGACAATGACCGGTTAGTAACCCTGTATTATTCTGAGCCGATCCCTACTATAGTGAAGTAATTCTTCGGTTCTTTTCTCGGACGGTTCCCTAATGAAGGTTCTACTGTGTTTGTTGCCAGGTACTTTTGTCCAGTACTCTGTGTGCTCCTTATTGATCCATGTCCTAATCTGGTTTCGTACCAATGATTTTGGTACCCCCAGAGCTGGTTCAGGACCTATATATGAAGTTGATGATCCGCGTCTAGCGCATCCATCAGCTTTATCATTACCTGTGATTCCTGAATGGCCTGGCACCCAGTACAAAGGTAATTTGTTCCTGTTTGCAAGTTCACTCAGTTCTTCATGGCATTCCCAGACCAGACCATTCCCCCCTAATGCCACACAGTTCTCGGCACGTTTTAACCTTTTACCTTAACTTGGGTGGTGTATCGCTAACGACGTTTCATTTTTAGCCACCCTGACGCCACACAGTCCTCGATACGATACAAAATTTTGACTTGGGTGGGGAATCTATACTTGAATCTCGATTCTGAGTTGAGAAAATTCTTTGTAAAGATTATATTGGATTTAAATCTTTTTCATAGTGTACTATATAGTATTAGTAAAGCTCTGTCATTTGGAATCCATATTGAGGTAGTTGTGAAATAATATGTAATCCGTCATTTTGAATCTCTGGCCATCTTGAATTTGCATCTTTTTCAAAGTGTACTACTATTCTACTAGTCGAACCCTGTCAGTTGATACCCATATTGAGGTAGTTGTGAAAAAATACGTAATCCACCTTTTAATTACTGAATATGACCTAAACAAACAGGGCAAGCTGAATAAAACCGTTTAAAAAATATTATATTGTGCAAAATAAAAAAAAAATCATCTGATTGGAAAAACAAATTTATAGACAGCAAGGAAAAATTAAAAAAAAACTCATCAAAAAGATAAAACGCGTCTGCGGTCAAAATCTTATTGATATCCTAGCAAACAACAAATCCCGGAAAGGAAACAGAGGAACGCGTATATGTATAGACAATGTGTCCACTCTTTGATGTGCAATACAAGTCCAACTTTTAGAATGAAAAAATTGCCTCATTTGTCGATTACAAAGGGACTCTCGACTTTATTAATTATACACTACTTTGTGAGAAACCTTATAAGATATATGACGATTACCGTTCAACATAACTTCGGAGTGTTATCAGGTGAGAATCTACGAAACATTCCATCGCGAGTTATTTAAATTCCCAATAAATATCGCACAAGTTCATTTCATATTAGCTTATCTCCTAATTGAAAAAGGATCCTGTACAACAATTTTCGCCTTATTGCCTAGATCCCCTATTTTTATTTTATTTATAATCAAAGCGTTAAATGTAGCTATTAGTTAGGAAATGTAAATATACTTCAATAATGTTGATTCAGATTTTTTTTTTCACAGAACCAAGGATCTTTCAACAAGTTGCAACAAACTCAATTGAATAAAAAGGAATAGATGATCTCGATAATTCTCTCTTAAATCTCTGTTGTCCACCTATAGTGCCGGTTATTTTACATATTATAAACTTTTGCTTGGCGAAGAAAGTTTTCCCAAGTATGTGGAAGCAGTCTATCGTGGAAGCAGTCTATCGTGATACCAATACCCAAAATTAAAGAACCTAAGGAATTCAAAGACTTACGTCCTATAAGTCTTCTTCCATTTCTTTCTAAAATTTTGGAAAAGGCTATTGCTCAACAGCTGAGAAACCACCTTCACAACAACAATGTACTTCCAATTATGCAATCTGGTTTCAGNTGTAAGGTGCAAGAGGAAGAATGAACTCTGTTCAATCTTGTATCCTATTGACAAATTTGTATTTTGTTTTTCTCCATATTGTATCATTTTATTTCAGCTGTGGTGGTCAAGGACTCTACCCCTCTCTCTCTCTACCGCGGCAGAAAATTTTTCGACTTGACAATTTTGACTACGTTATCATGTATTATAATAAGACAGTTGTTAGTGAGACCTGATTGGGCAAGGACCCAAAGTACAACTCCTAGACAATAAACCATTCCTGAAGCACATTAGAAAGAAATATTTCATAAATGAATTATTGCTTAACTTACATTAGCCAGCTGATCGAAACGACCAAAAAGTTCATTGAGCAGTCTCACCAATTCCTGGGCAGTACATTGCGATGCCAGTACCGTGAATCCAACGATGTCGGCAAACAGGATACTGGAACAAAAAATAAAATTGTGAAAAATTATAACTCAGCCAATCACAGTATTATTTTTTTTGGTTTACTTCTTGATGAAACGTATTTAAAATGCCGAAAATTACTTTTCGACAGCGTCCAGTCGGGCAAATTTTGAAATAGTTCAATATCAACCGTCACCGTATTTAAAAAGTACGCAAATCAGTATTTTGCAGACTTTTCTACCTGTATCACAAGAAAGGGGATTTAAGTTTTTGTTGGAAGATAGCTCGCGTTCACCCTAATCCCAAAAATGACAGGAAAAATCTTCCGAATAACTACAGACTAGTCGCTTTGATCAAAAATCATAGAGAAAGTCGTAAACCACCATATCCCCTAATATTTGGAAAGCTTCACCATCTTGAGAGATCATCAATATAGCTTTCGGAAACAAAGATCAACAGGCGACCTTCTACCCATATTTGGGATCCAGAAACATGGAGAATCAAGAGCTGTTGCGCTTGTTTCGTGTCGAAACTTCGATGCCATAGTTTGTCTCATCATTTTTGTGTATGGCTCTTCAGCTTCCTGAAAGAACTCTCTACAAGTGGCCGTCGATGGATACCTCTCGATTAATTTCACTATCAATGCTGGTGTTCCCCAGGGATCCATATTGTCTCCAACCTTTTTCTCAATTGTATACCAATGACTTATTTGAAAGAACCAAGAATCCAATATAATGCTTTGCTGACAACAGCACATTTGTCTCGTCATTCCATTTGGATTCCAAGACATCGGATACGGAGGCACATCTTTACCGGCACCAGGAAGTTGCATATCTTAATGAGGGAAGTGATTTCGAACTGGGCTGAAAGTAACCAGGTTCCATTCAATGCCACAAAAACCCAGGCATCGTTTTTCTCCAAGAAGATAATTGTCTCCGAACCGGATAAAATACTGTCGGGTTACACAACTCCGCTTTCTGCTTCGATACGTTTGTTGGGGGTTAAAATGATCACCAATATGTCTTGGCAAAATCATGTCGCTGGGATTGCAAAGGATGCTTCTTAAAAGCTTAGAACACTGTTCCGAACTAGAAAACTGTACGTACCTCAGCAACTTTTGATTCTTTAAAAAGCTCAGATCAGACCTTTTTTGGAGCATTGTTCTCATGTATGGAGCTCTTTCCCCAAACATACTTTGAAGTTGCTGGATTCCATCCATAAGAAGGCACCAAAAAGAAACCAGTTCTACCCCCGTCGCGATAATCGGGTCATATTGAGTGTAAGAAGTTGAATTAAATATGAAGTGGTCGACTAAGCTTATAACGACACAATTTGCTTCCTTTCGGCCATTCGCTAATTTACTATGCAGGTATCTACACCTATATGCCAATATTCCCCCATCTCGACTTTCAGGGTGTACGTATCGTGGGGCAAAACGAAGATGACAATTGGAGCCATTTTGTAGATTATTTTCAGAATGCTCTGACTTTCAGTTTCAGCAAGTAGTCTGCTACGCTCTGCATAAGTTTGTTTTATGCCATTGGCAATATGCACATTTCTCTCTAAAAAAAATATAAAAGAGAGGGTAGATCTAGAATGAATTTTATAACTACTGGCGGAACTGATGACACCCGAGATAGCCAGACAACCTTGTTTCTTTATATCAGAGAGCTTCGTTTGAGCAGTTTGCTGTAAGTTTACGGCCACACACCACATATCCAATGAATTTGTTTGAGCCCTAAGACCCTAGACAAATCCTTTGAAGTATCCTTGGGGAAAGTAAGTTCGTAAGTTGAATCAACCGTATTTATCTTCTTGGTGAAAGCAACTAGCCTGATTTTGTTGGGGTTTACAGACATGTGCTTCCTCTGGTGTCCAACTGAATATTGTCCAGCGTTTGTTAGATAATATTGTAGGCTACCTTTCTCGGTGTGGTCTTTGCCAGGATGATAAGTTTTTTCGCATGAGCTTGCAGACCTACTTGTCTCCTGTCGAAGACATGAAGCAAATTTTATCCATCATAAGTCATCACAAAAATAGAATAGTAGATACACCACCCTACCACCCTGAGGACAGCCACTGGCGGTTAGCCGTTTACTATGAGATTTCGGTCACCAAAGAATTGTTCCATATGCGATCATCGATCTGGCAAGCATCACATCTGTTTTAAATCTGTTTTTCCGTTAACCAGCTGTCGCACCCCTACGAACGACAACCCTCAAAAGTCGAAACTTGTGCGAGCTAAGGATTAACGAGGTCTTACCTTTTAACGTGTGATTCCTAACACGGTTAGGAATCACGGTTATATATCCAAATAATTCTTTAGAGCCCTAAAACCCAAGACAAATCCTTCGATATAAAGATAAGGGAAGAAAGTTAGCTTTGTGAACGTTTTGCAAGTGAGCATTCCAAGTAAGTTTTTTTGTTAAAAGAAAAATCTGTTTTTTCGTTAACCAGCTGTCGCACCCCTACGAACGACAACTCTCAGAAGTCGAAACTTGTGCGATCTAAGGATTAACGAGGTCTTACATTTAAACGTGTGATTCCTAACACGGGTTGGACGATAGCAAGTGAAAATCGATCGTTCAGACTAGGGCTTGAACCACCGACCAACACGGCAGTCAATTCGAGTAAGTTCCACTATGTTCTCCAACAGACAGCTTTTATGCGATCCAAATCAACCGATAGATAAACATCCCACCCACTGTTCAATCCTAGATAAACACGATTACCTAACAATAGAAACGTCGTGAACTAACGTGACTTGGAATCGCTCCACTTTTTATTTTTATTTTCTTCCTATTTTTACTTGTATTTTATTTCACTATTATTTCATTTCAGTTTTATTTTGGTTAATATGATGCTTATTTTCAGCTATTCATTTTTAATTCTTCTTTTTTAGATGTTTCAGGAATTTCAAATCATTTTATATAGTAGACAATGGAAGTCCGAACTAGTGAAATTCATCATGAAACATCATGAAGGTGTGTCAATCACCTTCAAACATTCGTTTGGGCAGTTTGCTGTAAGATTACGGCCACCACACAATTACTCCGTACGTATTCATCGATCTGTCAATCACCACACATATCCAATGAATTTGTTTGAGCCCTAAGATCCTAGACAAATCCTTTAAAGTATCCATGGGGAAAATAAGTTCGTTCCGTGTACCTTTTTCAAGTGAGTGGTCCAGCATTGAAGAAATGTGAAGTTGAATCAACCATATTTATCTTCTTGGTGAAAGCAACTAGCCTGATTTTGTTGGGGTTTACAGACATGTGCTTCCTCTGGTGTCAACTGAATATTGTCCAGCGTTTGTTAGACCTTTCTCTATGTGGTCTTTGCCAGGATGACAAATTTTTTTGCATGAGCTTGCAGACCTACTTCTCTGCTGTCGAGGACATGAAGCAAATTTTATTCATCAGGAGTCATCACAAAAATAGAATATTAGTTACGCCACCCTGAGGGCAGCCACTGGCGGTTAACCGTTTATTATGAGATATCGATCACCAAAGAATTGTTCCATATGCGATCATCGATCTAGCAAGCATCACATATATCCAAAGAATTCTTTAGAGCCCTAAAAGCCAACACAAATCCTTCGATATGAAGATAGGGGAAGCAAGTTAGCTTTGTGAACCTTTTGAGCACTCCAAGTAAGTTTTTTTGTTAAAAAAAAACTGTTTGAAAATATGTTTTTTCGTTAACCAGCTGTCGCATCCCTACGAACTACAACTCTCAGAAGTCGAAACTTGTGCGATCTAAGGATTAACGAGGTCTTACATTTAAACGTGTGATTCCTAACACGGGTTGGACGATAGCAAGTGAAAATCGATCGTTCATGACACCCGAGATAGCNAACAAAGCACCCACGTCAAACCGCCTGGCTACCGACTAGAGTAAATTCATCATTGAATGAAAGTGGAGTCAAATCATCTAAATTACTAGTCATGGTGAAGGGAACTACCACAGTTTTGTTGGGCCTTAAGGAAATTTGCTCTTTCTCTCTTTGGTCGCGAACAATAAACATCTTATTCATCTACCCTCTACCTACCCTGATGGAAGCTCCTGGTAACCCTGAACCTTATGGCATCATTTTGAAGAAGTGTAGTTGGTGTTCTGTTCACAAGCTAGGCATAGATCCAGCGAGTCATGGTTTATCATTTTTTTCAGCAAAGGCTGATCCGGTATATTGAGATAGAGCATTGTCAAATGTTGCTTCGATATCGAGAAATTCAGCTACCACAATATTGTTGTTGAGGTATCGGAAAAGTTTTACGCAAGGTTATGTAGTGCTAGATTCGATCAACTTTACTCAGTATTTCAATTTAATTTCGACACAAAATGAAATTTCCGAAGAGACTGAAAAAACAGAGACGTGCTTGAAACTGCCGAAAACCATTCTAGAAAAGCATCAAAAGCTACGAGGACGAGTAGCAGTAAGTTCTGAGGTCTGGTTTATTCATTTAATCAATCAATCAATTCATTTCATGAATGGCAAAATCCATGTATTTGAAAATTAATTGAAAACCTATTTCGCTATTTAAGGGTAATTTGTATTATTTTCCAACGTGAATCAGATAAGCAGGCAATGTATGACCATTTAACAAACTTACCACAAATAAACAAAATCTGTTAGCAGAACCGAAATTATGTATAACCACTGGCCTTTATACTGAAAGTATATTGAATATTGGAAACCACATCAATAAGATTTGTGCTATCATTACTAAATCTCAAGTTAAAAACTACTCTGTAGTGTTAGCTTGCTGCCCTTATGCACTACGTAAAAGTATTCTGAATTAGCTTTAGTTGATCTACCGTTGATAAATATATTTTTTCTGCTTTTTCATTATTCATTACAGTAGTTAGATAACATTTGTTAAATTGAAAGGGTATTTTTAGGAAAGGCTGATTTTTTGGGGAAGAAAGGTTTTGGTTTTCTAATTCTCCATCTCTATGCAAAATAACTGTTGGAATATTCCAAAGAAAGGAAGGAAGCAACTTATTTAAAAAAAAAGAGTAATTCTATACAA